AAGAGGAGATTCAACTGGCTCGAACTGACAAATCAATAAAGAAATAAAAACGAAGAACAATTCCGATGTACAATGTACCTCATCACAACAGCGGAATAAATGGAAATGGCAAATAATAATCAAATTTGAGATCGATCAAATTTGAGATAAATTAATAAGAAACACGGAAACATCTTGGAATTAAATGTTTTTCGTCCTCTAAAATTTTCAGAAAAATGAAATTTCAATGCTCAATATTTTGTCACGTATATTAATCACGAATCGAGACTTACTGCTACTCCCTAAATTCGGCCGCCCGGTCGCGGGGGAAACCTGATTACTCTATCTTCAGTTGCCTCGAATCTCCGACCATAATCTTCAATTACCTATATACCCGCACCGGAGAGATCCGCACGTTATTCCTCGGGAAAAAAGAGTTTTCCCGTCGATTAAGGATCTCTTGCCTCTGTGCTACCGAGAAGCACCACCGCTGGATCACTTCGGACTTCCGCGCACGTTTCAAGATGAGTTTTGAAATCCCATAGTGGTCGAGTTAAGGGGAAAAGGAGCGAGGGAGGGTACAACGTATCGTGTGCTAGTGGTGGGTTTATTCCTCGGGGACGCGGCGTTCCACGTTGCCCCCTCCCCCTGATTCGGACTCGGAATTACTTCCAGTCAGATAGGCCGGAGAACGGACGGCGGGACTTAGGTGGTCTAATCGCGTTTACACGAGGCCAATCCGACCTGGGTCTCGCGTTTTGTCCGGTAACGTATAGGCAATCATGCGTCGTCCGTTTAATTTTTAACCACGTGCCGTTTAATTTTTAACCATGTCGCGTCCATTCTCGAAATTACATTAGACGCAAGTGGCGGCTCTACGTGGCGCTTCAAGAAGGTTAAATGAACCAGGAGTGACGGCAAGTGATAGTGCCCACGCAATCCGCGGACGGAAGTGGACATTGTTTTACCGATTTACACGACGCAAACTGCGTTCTCTTTATCTGTCCGCTAATTTTAAACAAGTTAATAGTTATTTAGTTCAAAGAATGATTAAGAACAGCAACTTTATCCAAATCAACTAATTTCTTAAAGACACCATTTATTTAAAAAAAATTACGACTTTCTTTGCCTTTTATCGATTAATTTTGTTAGCTTCGCGGAAGACGACAATATACTTCTTGTACTTTAAGAAAAGAAAAAACGCGAATGTATGGAATGGCGAAATACAGCGGCAAAGACCCGATACTTTTCGCGAATGAGATCTATTCGTCGGAGCGTGTACGGGCTCTCGCGTGAGAAGTTTCACGGGGATACCGCGAAAGGAAAAGCGCGTTATCGAAACGACGGATAGATTCCCGGAAAGAAGAGTTGCCTTCCGCTCGGCCGGAGTAACGGGTCGAGATATCTAATCGAGATATCACGATCCGCACCGTACGCTCGAGCGATCTTCGACTTCCGTAGGACCGAGGGGCAAACGAGGAGCGAAATCCGTAGCGCGTAAATTTCCAACCCCCCGTTCCACTTCGAACCCCCGCTCGAGGGAGGAGACACGGAAGGGAGACATGTTCTCGAGAAACTGTTCGAGGATGCACCTTCGAGCGTGAATTTCTTCGACTCCGGTGACATGCAAGGTATCGAAGGAAAGACGAGAGACTGAGTAAGAAAGTGAGAGAATGAGAGAGAGAGAGAGAGAGAGAGAGAGAGAGAGAGAGAGAGAGAGAGAGAGAGAGAGAGAGGAAGGGAGGTCGTCGTGCTGGAAGAAAAGAAAAGCATGTTGAAACGTGGGAATAAAAGCGCGAAAAGAGGCACCCCCCTACTTGAATCGACTACGAGAGATTGCGTTCGTCTTCCGGTGGACGAAACGAAAAATATGACGCATTGAGTACGCGCCGAATGGTTTTGGCTGAATGGGAACACGGGACTCACCATCTTATACACGATAAATGATGAAAATTGACTATACCAAAAAAACTTGGATTTTTTCCTGACATTTTGCATACGCGAATATCGACTAAAAGTTTATCAAAATGCGGCTTTCATGGTTGCTCACGCCTGATCGCTTCGTCTGGTTTTAAAACATAAGAAAATCTTGCTGTCTCTTTCTAATTTCGAAAAAAAAAAAACGCAAATGCGGAGCCGCAGCGAAGCGAAGTATCAAATATTCATCTGTCATCTCGTGTTGCCTTTCTTCACTCCGCCGTGGAATCTTAGGGCTTCAGGCGCGGATTGGCGGACCGCCGGAATTCGCCTGATGCATAGTCGATCCCGCGGCGGGTTACCGAACGGATGCTGAAGAGCAGGATGCACGATAGTGGTACAGCCCCACCGGGAGCCACCCCGCCGCACCGACGACGCTCGGTCGGTTATTGCGGACGAGGAGTTTCTCGAGAGGGTAGCGCGCGCGCGCGCGACTTGCGAATCTTCGGAAGTGGAAAGCGGAAAGTCAAATTTGCTCATGATAATACCGCGAATTTCTTATGGAAAGATGAAAACTGTTTGCGTCCCGCTTACCCGCTGCCGTCCCGTCGACGTGTTCGGAATCTCTCGTGAGAAAGGGACTTTAGGAGCCGAAGAAAGAGAGATTTTTGACATTATAAAATCATTATATATCACAATGGAAAACGGCAGATTCTAGCATAAGTTCAGATATGCTTTTGACAAATATTTATGTATCTAACAAAAAAGGACTGAGTAAATTATTATTGTTACATATATTAATATTTTAAGCAAACTGCGACACATTTTTGACGTATAGAATTTCTTAAGCGGAGTAAGATGTAATTCTGACTTTCCTACATTCCTTTCCGTATATCCAGTTCATAATTTCGCAGACAGCATTATTATATATTATTGATAGACTGAAATAACTGAACCCGATAAAACACCGACGGAATTTTAACGAGTGAAGGCAAGGAGTTGCGATTCGAGTTGAATGAAACTTCGCTTCTCTATCGCCGTCAGATTAGTGCCGCTCTAACGGACTTTGCTTCAGTCTAAAGAAAAGATCGCTACCGGCTTCCGAGGCATGGGTAAACACGAAGCTTCGACAGCACTTTGAAGACGATTATCGAATGCAGAACAATGACCCGTCTTCGAGTTGCTCCTTCCCTGCGACTGGGCTGAAACTGGCGGAGCAAACACTTTATTCCACTAAACGGTGCATAGATCTCGTAGTTGTCGCTTTTAACAGTTCTCCGATTTCAAATTTAACGTCGTTAAAGTTATAGCAAGTATGCGATGTCGATGCGCTTACACGCGACATTCTAACAAGAGGAAAATGTTTGCGACGGCGCGAATTGTTCGACAAAAATGGTCGAGATCAAGTCAAACGGTTGTCGGATAAAAAAAATTGCGTTTTACGAAAAAGACGAAAGTATAAAGTTATTAAGTAAACTCTATCCACTTTAAATATACGTTTATGAATCGTTTTTACAATATTAATAAGATGAGTCTGGAAAGAATACAAAACCTGTGAAAACTTTTGTCAGACAGCATTATTCGTTGCTCAAAAATTAACAGTTAATTTCCCTCGCGGGGAAACAGATCGTGCCAGACGTACTTAAGGCGCGTTTCACAATTAACTATTAAAATCCTATTTAGAGAGGAAAAAACAGAGTCAGAGGAGTTGCCGCGATCGTTACCTTCCTGTTTCTTACGGCGCGGTATCACTCTTCTGGGAAGAGATAAAACACTTCTCGCGGGCCATTCGAATGCAGTTCGAATTCGTGCAGCAGCCTGCCTACGGTATAAATATCGAAAATGGTGGAGTGCCTCGTGAATCGTGATAAACGGTCCGAAATTTCTCCGAGTCTGCCCCCCCCCTCTCTCTCTCTCTTTCTCTTTCTCTCTCAGAATCCGACGAGGCCTCCTTCGCTCTACCAAAGCGTGAAGCTACACGATCGACCATGACAGAAAAGTTCGTGTGAGCGTCTAGCGCAGCGGCTCACACACACACAAACACACGCATCTATACCTACACGTGCAAGTGACTACGAAAATTCGATGCCCGAGGGAGCGGCTGAGTTAAAGGTACCGAGAGTACCATAAATCCGTTTAAATTGCAACGACGACCCTCGATCTGTAGATCGTTGCCGCGGCCCGTGAGCAATTATCCATCAGCTCGCCTTCTCTCGCGCGATTCACCTGTTCTCCTTAACTTGCCCATGCACCTTTTGGCATCTTTCCACAAGGCGAAATGTTTCAACCGTCGACATAAAAATATTAGCATTAAGCATCTGATTTCGATAAAGAGTAAAAATCTAATTATACATCTAAATGATTAATAAATGCGATATTTGTTAGTAAAACACATAATGCCGACGTGAATTCTAAATTTCTACCTTTCCCCTAATAATTTGTTCGTTATCGTTACGTGAATTTGTAAACGAGGGTAAGCGTGGTTTGTCTCGGCTAATAAATATTGAAATATTAGAAATAAGAGCGCTAAAAGATTACTATTATCGCGCCGCCGAATACCTTCAGTCAAGCGTTCCTCGCACTTTTACGATTGCGGAAGCACTACTTATTCGAGGGTTCGATCGGTCTATTGTTTCGCCTTATAACTGGCGCTACGAGCGCGCGTTCGAGAGTCAACGTGAGATCCATGTGACAGAACAATAAAATAAATGTCGTAGCACAGCAATAAAACGGTCACGTAGTCGAACGGAAGCACGTAATGGCGCATTTGTTTCGTCGTTGCGCGAGAAAAATGAAGGCGCGATAAAATTTGCGTACTCGATAACGTTCTTGGAAATCTTGAACTAAGAACTTTCCGGCCGCAAACTATAAATCGTGGCATCAGTGATCGTCAATTGATTTTAAAGATTTTTCGACCATTCCGCAATTGTAACAAATTGATATACAATAATATGGCTGAGCAAACATTATTTTTTTTACATGCAAATATTATACATTTGTGCAACATAAATTTATGTAACATTTGTGTAAATACGACGTGATATTTCAAATGGTAATATTTCATTGAATTGCATGAGTGTGTATATGAAGTGAGTCAAACTTACCACCGGAAACGGTGCTGTGGGAAACGGACGAAAATTCGAAAGGTCTGGAATTCTTACCTGCAACGGAAGAAACACACAGTTATGTCTAGATATATAATTGGCGTCTTAGACCGAGATAGAAGTGTATCTCGCGTCTTATTTCTTCCTAAATGACATTAAAGTTTCAAAGTTGAAAGTTATGTCCAATAAATCTTCTCAATATAATTACGTGAAAGATGCGGGGCTTGAAAGGGGCGAGCAAGTAGATAAAGTCCGTAATGGACGGCCACGTGCGACGCACCGCGCCGACTTAAGTCTGACCATCACGGTCTGTTGCGAGTCGACAGGAAGTGCAGTCCGATTTCTTTCTACGCTCCTCCATTCGCTACTTCCATTATCCTTCCGGCCGCGGTTCCGCGATCGCGAGTTGTACGCAAGAAACTTGCGATGATATAACGGAGCTTAACTCTTCATAAAGAGATCGCAAAATACTTTCGATCGAATAAATTTGCTGGTAAGTAAACTGGTATGCGATATTCGACGAACAGACATTATTCAGCGCGTTACAAACTCATTTTTGTCTTTTTGCAGGCGAGCGGTATCACGTACTCGCGATCGTTCCGTGAGGTACCTACAAGCGTAGCTCGCGATCGTACAATTAACGCGCGCAATTAACGTACGATCAGAGCGTGTCGCTCGCGGCTGAAAGAAGCTACAGAGGAGTACGAGTCGCAGGCCACTTAATTGAAAGGAACGATGGAAGGCAGGCAGGCAGGAAGGCAGGAAGGCAGGCAGGAAGGAAGGAAGGAAGGAATGAAGGCAAGGGCGAGCAAAAGAAGAATGAGGAGGAATGGCGCTCCTCCAGCCACCAGCTGCAACCTGTTGAATTCGGAGATACGGAGAGATGGGGAATCACAGGCACCGTCCATTTGGTAACTTCGAATTACTATGAAATTGTTTTACTACTTCACACGCACCATCCCCGTATACGGCGTTTCTCGTTGGCGTGACGTTCGTCCGAAATCTAATTATGCTGCTAGAATCGAGGAGCACCATTCGTGGAAAATTATTGTCGAACGCTGTCGCTACGACATAGTTCATAAAAATCGTTCTTTACAAAATTACATTGACCATTATTCGTAGAAAAAAATACAGGTAAAATAGATGCCTGATCATTTTAAAATCAACTAATGAACTAATTTGGTTCGACTTGTGTCATTTCCCGATAGATTCAAAAAAAAATTAAACTTTTTTGCCAATTTAAATGACTTTTTCGAACGTTTTGTGAAAATATGCATGACGGTGCAGAGAGATAACCCAGATTTTTACGTGATGTGAGTTTTTATAATAAATGTACGTAAATCCGTGATTCGTGATTTATCGGAATGTATAATATCATTTCCCTGAAACTCCAAAAGTGATGTTGTAATTTATTTCTGTCGTATACGTACGTAAATCAATCATTTGACCATATTGATGATTCAAAACTGTTGCAATTTTTTTTATATTCTTGCGCCTCGTAGTTTGCGCACGTTTCCAAATGACGTGATTTACCAGTGGAGAAAATATACAACAAAAATATTGGTCGCAGAATCGCTCGAAAGAATGCCTGAAAGCCAAGAATAAAAACAAGGGCAGCCAATTTCTTTTATCAGGTTTCTTCGCCATATTTCTTACATTAAAGAAACGAATAGCAGGTCAGACATATCAGCCGAGGTCGCACTTTCCTCTCGTCGATGTTAAAAACTACACCTCGATTAAATGCGCCATTACCAACTATCTCATATTGCCAAGAAAATCTTTCCACCCGAGACATTAATTGCATCACACGTGTGTGTTACTAAAATAATATCTCGCAGCTTTCATTTCGCATCACGATATTTCTCTCTTATATTTCGGTGAAATCTTCTATATTCGAGAAATTGCGTCATCCGGCTACGAACGTAAAAGGTCCGAATAAACACGCTTATCAGTAAATCGTTGATTTGAGCAATTAATCTAAAAGCCCATCCAAAAGCGGAAATGACTACGTCAGTCGATCGGAGAGATAGGGGAATAAATAAAATCATACTTTTTTAATTACGATGTTTTTGAAGTTCCGATATGCCATCTCGTACCTATAATTACATTATTCCAATATCTCGCCGATTTTCGAGAATTATAAATTTTCGCGATAACTCGAGAATATACGAAAAACTGAATGCGACGACGCGTGACAAGAATAGAACGGAGCGGATGATCTTAAAGCGACGAAGAAGGCCTGGCAGAAAGGGCCTGGCGAAAGAAAGACAAGGAGAGTGCAATGACCAAGTGCACGTGGCCGCGCGCAGCACGTAGTGCATAAAGCGGGAATGTGCGGCGGTGCGAGCCACTCTTTTGCATTCCGCGGTTTCAAGGTTGAGGTCAAGGCACACCTAAGGTATCAATCGTCTGAAGTTCCGACTTCCGGAGAAGCGTGGAAACTTCGGCCGCGATCCCGCATATTGTAACGCAGTTTCGCTTCGGTAAAATTATCGCGAAGGAAGTCGCAAAGGGAATTGCAAAACTGAAAGAATTTTTATCATCTTGTGAATAAAATTAATGATCGTGTAAAAACTTGTAACGTAACCGTCGCGCGAGGTGCCCATTAATCGTTGCGTATCCGACGTAAAGCTCTAATTGGCACTCCGAGGAGGTGTATTTGGAATCACACAGCTGAACTGATACAGCGTATCTAAGCGACAAGATTGACGTAACGTTACGTTAGGCACGATATAGCCCGCACGAACGACGCTCGGTCGACGCCCTTGTTTCGGCCTCGACGTCCGCTTCCGACCGGACGCGGACAGGGATCTGTTGTACAGCTGTGTGTCATGGTTGTCGATTACGGCGCGATTGTATATTTTTTTTCCTCTTTTTACGACAAAAAATATGTCCGCGTCGTCGGTGGTCGCGCGCGTGAAACAGAGGAAAGTGAATTGGGAGTCGGATGAATCAATATTTTCCGCGCTGCGTAAAAATTGCACGCTGAAGCTGCAATTCCCCGAGGACCGGCTGCAAGATCGCGATTACACGTGCAATGAATCGATAGCACAGAAATAAAGATCACATCAATTCGTGTGAACTCTTGAACAAATATTAACATATTTGTTTAAAAACATTTTTATATTGTTGAAATAGTATCAATAAAACACAAATTGCAATACTAAATAAGATTAATAAGATACTGTGCGATGTATTGTTATCGTATCAACAATAATACTGGCATCGTATAATTGTGCAAGATTATCGAGAAGAAAAGGGAAAAAAGCTAAACTCGAGAAGATTGAGAAATACAAAAAAATACAGAAAGTTTATACGAAATAGACACACTAAGATAAAAACATCCCAACTTTGCATATGCGTAAGCTTTTTACTTCGTCGTCGCGTTATAGATTTTCCGATGGAAACAATTTCACAGCGTGAGCAAAAAAAGATTCACGAAGCCTGCTTCTTTCTTCTGGCCGGATTTAAGCTCGAATTATTGTTAGAATAAGGTTTCAATAAAAAATGAGGAAAAAATTTAAAGAGGATATTGGACAATCAATTTCGACTCTAGTTGGAAGAAACAGACATCGGGGAGAATAAAAGTTTTTGGAAAGGGGCATGATATGCATATGGAAAAACGGATTTTAAATGAAAAAGTACAACACTAAAATCCGCGAGTTTCAAGATTACGATCAGATCTCTACAAATATATGTATGCTTTTTGAAGAATAAGAAATTGTTAGCAATAAAAGTTTTAATTGTAACATAAGATGTGCTAAAATGTATATTATACTCGACAGTGGTTCTTAAAAGAATATCTTATTACATTCTTAATATAGATATATAATTTTACCCTATATTTTTACCTATAATCTTATTTATGATAGGCAAATAAAATAATAAATAAAGTCATACTTTTTTAATTACGATGTTCTTAAAGTTCCGTTATGCTATCTCGTACCTATAATTACATTCTTCCAATATCTCGCCGATTTTTAAGAATATAAATTTTCGCGATTTACAAGTGTTGAAATTTAAAATTCTTAAAAATTCTCTCGCAAAATTGATTCGGAGATATTTGGGCATTCCTGCATTTTAAAATGTAATATTTTATACACTTCTTACATAAAAGTAAGAAACATTATAGAAGAGTATATTCTAGTTCATCTAAGTTCCTCCTGACATACATTACGTAGCGAGTCAGTATTTCAAAGATGTAGTATAAGGTTACAGGCGGAAGTTCGCAGGAAGATAAAAAGTATACGAGCGGCAATGTAAAGAGAAATAATTCTAAATCAAAGGAAGCAAGAGTTACGCGTGTCAAAGTAGCAATCCGACCTCTTACACCTTTTTATATATATAATATATCCCTTTTAGTGTTTCGGAATTGCGACTCTCTCTCAGGTACCTACTCGTGCTGAAAGTGCACTCCGAGCTAAGGATAGCATAAGTAATCTTTTTCTGATTTTTCAAGAAAACGACGTCGGTTATGCCAGATCGAAAGAGGGCGGTGGCACGGAGAAAATTCTCCTTGACTCGCACAATATATGCCATAAAAGACTTATGGCTTCTATATATATGCTCCGAATTTTACTTTCAAAGCGAATCTCTCAGTCGAAATGTGGCTCGCGCGAAGCATCATTATACGAGTGAAAGAAAAACGATAATAATTTCTAATGCCAAAGAGACCCAAAAAGTATGATAAAAAATAATTTTCAAATTTTATGGTTACTTATTTAAAGACTTAAAAATTGTTCAGGTATATAATTGTAAAACGCTCATTCCCCTCTACCGAATGGACTTCTTTAATTTTAATATCTATTTCTGATTTAATGTCATGTCTTGTTTCATTAGTAGGTCCGAGATATTTCTGTCCTATAATAACGCAGTTCGCAAAGTGCCTATGAGGAAAAGGATTAAACGGAGCAACGTGTATAATAGCAGCGCCACATCCTAAACACGGTAACCAATATCCGAACTTCGTAAGCCTATACGAAAGTCAGGACGCGTTATTACATTATTGCATTATACATCGGTATATGCTACCCGGGTGCATGTCCATCGAGCTTTCG